CTAGAATGTTCTTCTAGTAGGGGGCTGGGGAGGCAGCTCAGTGAATAAAGTGCTTGCTGTGCCCAAGGATCTGAGTTCAAATCCCTGGCAATCACGTAAAAATAGGGCACAGCTGTGTGTACCTCAAATCCTAGTGTTGGGGGCAGATTCGGGCAGATCCAGGGATCAAGTCAGCCTTTCTGTACTGGACACTTCTGTGAGAAACTGTCTTAGGGGAATAAGGTAAAGCAAGATACCTCTGTCCTCCAGGATATGTACATGTACGTACACATGTATACACACACATACGCATATATATACAAAACACACACACACACACTGCTCTGCTGGGGGACAGAGGAGCCCACCCTTCGGAGGGCCTGGCAGGGGGGAGGAACTGACCCAGACATGACCACTGCCATCACCTCAGGTGAAGGAAGGAAGAGGCTCCCCTGCAGCTGGAGCCTAGGGTAGGGCCTCCTAGGTCTTGTCAGGTCTGTAAAATGCTTAAGGGCAAAGGCTTCTCCAGTGATGGGCTGGGCAGCTGGGCAGAGGAATATCTGATTACTTCTAAATGTTATCTGGAGAGCAGAATAAAGAGTCTCTGTTGAGAAACTGCTAGTGTCTGTCCACTAGGGTCTGCCTCCCTGAGTTCTGACCTGGCCACTGCCCGTGCTAGATAAAGAAGCCATTGACTCAGCCAGGCCAGGCGAGGAGCCTGGCATCCTGGGATCTTGAGTCTCCTGAGGCCTATGAAATCGAGCTGGAAACACTCTTTGAATGGCTTTGAAGTTGAGAGAGCAGCAGGTGGTCCCACCCACCGGAACCGGAGACCCCACTGTTGGAAGCGGTTGCATGGGGTTCTGGGGGAAGGGTGCAGCGCACAGACGGCACCCACAGGTGGATTTACTAAAATTGCGGCAGGATCCAGTCTTCAGGAAATGTCCTGTTGGTGAGGTTTGGGAAGTGAAATTACTGGGCCTCTAGCTCTGAAGAGCTCATGCATTCAACAAACTGTAGCTCTTCAAAGAGAGGGGAGGACACCTGGGGATGTGGCTCAGGTGACAGAGTGCTTGCCTCGCATGCATGAGGGCCCGGGTTCCAGGCCCAGAACCGCACAAACCACAGGTGGCTGGCCCTGTGGTCCCATCACTAAGGAGGTAGAAGTGGGAGGATCAGAAGTTCAAGGCTGACCTGAGAGCAGCTGTGGCTGCCTACACACGCCGGGGCTTCAGCAGTCAAACATGGATCAGAAAGGAGCTTAGGGGCCCTTCTCCCCATTGACTACTGGCTACCAATAGACTCCGAGGGAGGGATAGTCATTGTGTACCACTGAGGAGCCCTCCAGCTCAATCCCTCGGTTATACAGATATTTCCAGTTGAACTCATTGGATCTCAAAACAAAGAAAAACAAAAAAAAAAACCCACAAAGTCAAAATGTGGTGTTTGTGTTTGTTGTTGTTGTTTGTTTGAAAGGAATTTGTAGGGAGGCAGGTAAGGGTAGGATTCAGGTTAGAGGGTTTTAAGAGGGAGATAATAATCAGAGTGCACCTTACACATGCATGAAATTGTCAAAGAACAAAATATAAATTTTAAAAAAAGTTCAAGGTCATCCTCAGCTGCATGGTGAGCTTGAGGCCTGCCTGGAGTACCGGAGATCCTGTAAATAGCCTCTAGAGAAGATCTGGTCCAGGGACCGCTTGCTATAGACCTGCAGCTGCTGGAATGAAAGTCAGTCACCAAGCTGACAGGCAGCAGCCGCCATCCCAACCCGGCAGGTCAGGCCCCAGGCCTGGGCCCCAGGAGCCACCTCCTGGTCAGGCAGAGCCCTGGCAGGTCAGACCCCAGACAGACTGGGACTAGGGACTGACAAGCCCAGGCCCTAAGGAGGTCAGCGCTGCAGCTTGCCCTATGCTCAGCACCCACCCCAGGCCTCTGGGGAATCAGAAGAAACTGCTGACCTGTCCCCTAGAGAAATAATTGCATTAGTAAGGTGGCCTCTGGTGGCTTCGTCAGCGGTTTCAAGGCTTTGAGTTGAGTAATCCTTTGGTGTCTGCCCTAGCAGCTGGCGGTCACAGGCTGGGGGACACCACCACCCCCACTACCCCCCCCCCCCCCCAGCTAACCCCTACACGGTATATCTCCTGTCATCTCACCCTCACCACACAGCTCAATTCTGGGGGAGCCTGAGATGCCAAAGACGAGAATGTCGGGGAATACAAACTCAGAAACAGATCTTCTGTCCGACTGCCTTCTGACCAGATGCTAAGCTAAACTCTAACCCCATTTCTGGAATCTTCCATCTGGACAGAGGAGAGAAAGTAGACCCGGAGTAAGCTTCAACATTAAGGACAGAGAGCCTGGCCCTGCACGAGATCTAGATGTAGAGAATGGGTAGGTTGAGAGGACACTGAGCAGGTCTAGAAGGCTGGGTAAGGATGAAGCAGGTGAGCAGGAGGGGCACCCCCTTACCCACTCAACCTGTTTGCTCTGCCTTCGGGGCCTGACCAGAGCAGTGTCCCACGGGGAAGGCATTCCATCTGTCCCGTGGTCAGATTTTCCTAGAGCACACACCTGGGGAGCTAAGGTCACTGGGCTCAATTTACCACAAAGCCTCCACAAGACCCCCCTGGGGCCACCCTAGGACTTTATCCCTTCCTCCTCCTGCCTCTATACTGTTAGCGCCAAAAGAGTCAAGGCCACCTGGGAGAGAAGAAAAGCTCCCTTTGGTGCTGGCCTCCTGGCTCCTCCCTCCACCCTACTAACCATGACAGTCCATCTCCCATCCACCCCCAGGACACATCCACCTGCTTTACAGATGAGAAAACAGAAGAGCACAGCGCTCGGTGCTGGCCAGAAACTCTGCAGTGATTAACACCCACCTCCATCCCTACCTCTTTACTGCTCCATAGCTGTGTGGCTTGGGGCATATTACCTCCCCACTCTGGGCCTCTCTAACTCAGTCTCCCAGCTGCTGTTGAGGCTCACGGTGTCAGCTTCTCTGTAGGGTCGTTGTGAGGTGTATGACACAGTGGTGGTTTGTGGGAGAAGTCTCTGAACACTTTCCCAGAGCGTTTCACTGCTGAGACGCCATCTTTGTCTCCACCTCCCCACCGTCTCTTCCATACCTACAGGGTCTTCATTTTCCTCCGCATTGGCTCAGCTGGACACCCTCAGCTCAGCCTGACCCATTCTGCCCCCTGACACGATTGACCACCCCCCCAAGTCCTTGGGCCCCACTTACATGTCCATGCAGGCCAGTGGGGCATGAGTGAGATGTGGGGGCATAGATAGATCTTGGGTGAGGAGCTGAGGACAGAGACTCTGGTGAGAGCCTGGCATGAAGCTGTCACGGAAGCCATGAATGCCCGTCCTTCAGACTGCCCATGGAAAGAATAGAAACATTACTAGAGTGACTTTTGGATGAATATGATGACATATTCCGAGTACAGACCTGGGCTATGATGCCCTGGTTTGGCTGCTAAGTGGAGCTTCAGGCCTCGTCCATGAAGGGTCCTGCCGGGCTTCTGGGTCAGAGTGAGGACAGAGAGGACAGGTGAGAGGCTCATGGCCTCGGCGGATCACCCTGCAAAGCCCCTGAGCTGACTTTCCAAATCCCCAATAGTGCTTCCCTGTCACACTGAGGGTTAGCCCCACTTAGGAGGCCATGCTCCACCCGTCCGTCCCCTTAACTCCGTGATCCCTAAGAAGCTCCCAGTCTCTAATGCAGGACAGAACTGCCCACCCTGTGAGGCAAGGCCAAGCTGAGGATGGTATTCCCCTTGCCCCAGACCAACATGGGACTTCTGCCCCTCTTGGGCCTGGGGAGAGGATGGCAAAGGGCAGGCTGGCAGGGACAGGACAGGATGTTTACTGGGGTGCTGCCTCAGGCTTCTTAGTACCAGGCACCAAAACACATTCTGGGAAATATTTAACTTCATTTTCCCGCCTCTACCGGAAGACAGGCATTTGGAGAAAACCGGGGTTCGCAGACGCTGTCCCTTGCTCGGGATGCATGACCCATGACAGAGCAGGGATACGCATGGAGGTGGCTCTACCTTGCCCTCACCTCTCTTCCTGTGGCACCAGGAGGCACAGACTCCCACTCACTCTTCCTCCACAAAACCATTTCAGGTTTAAGCTAGGCAGGGGGACCTGGGTTTAGTGGGGATACCGCCTGCCTGGCACTGGAGTCCAGGCCAGGGGAGGAGGTGGAGGCCACCTGGGCACTCAGAGCCTGCTCTGGGCAGCTGTGTCCCACCTCATTGTGCCATGGGAAAATGCCCACCAGCTTCTCCACTGCCCCCGGTCTACCCAACACCCTCCGCTGGACCTGATCACAGAGACATCTGGAGATGCTAGCCTTCCAGTGGGCAGGTCCCCAAAGCACCGGGGCCCAAGGAGTCCTTTACTAGGATAGAAGATAGGCTTCCCAGAACCCAAAGTGAGCAAGCCCCCAGGGGCAGGGGTCCACACAGGCACAGCGCTACATACACAGGCACACACACCTCAAATACATGGCGAATGTCACAAAAGCATTTGAAGTCCTCGGGGAGGCGGGATCTACAACATGCCCCCTCATAAGATTTGTCACTGGATAACAGTCTCAGCCTGGCCCCTTGGTCCCGTGCAGTGTGTGTAAGGACGGCAACAGCAAAGGATGGACAGGGATACTGGCAGCCTGGGAGTCAGCCTGAAGACAGCAGGGCTGACCAGCTCCCAGGGGCACCTGGGTAATGCTGCAGGTGTGGCCAGTTGATCCCCTGTGGAGACAGTAAAGATTAAGAGGATCATACACTGTATCCAGAGCTGTGCTGGGAGAAGTCTGGACCCAGAGCCAAGGTGTTGAGAAAGCTCTAGAAGGAAAAACTTGTAACTCACAAGGGAAGGGAAGCCGAGGAGAGACAGGCACGGACGGATAGACAGACAGACAGTAGACAGCAGTAGAGACAGAGACATAGTTGGACCCAGCAGCTGCTTGCAGGCAGGTAACAGGTGGCCCTTGGGACCTGCCATACCCAATGAGCTCTACAATGGCTGCCTCGGCTGTGGCTGTGGCTGTCACAGCCTCCAAGAAGGAGTCTCCGAGCAGGTGGGGTCTTGGAGAGGATCCAACAGGTATGACTTTTTTTTTTTTTTTTTTTCTGGAGGTGAGATCTGGGCCCTTGAGGAAGCGAATACAAGCGGTAGGTTCAGGGGGCCATGAGAGGAGCTTGAGCCATGAGGTCCCAGCTCCCGGGCTGTGAGTGAGCGTGAAAGGGCCAGCTGACAACCCCGAAACCCCAGGAACTCAGAGGTCAGCAGAGAAGGACCTAACAGGGGAGCTGCTGAGGAAGGAAAGGTGCTCTTGAGACACCAAGAGATCCTTATGACCGTTTTCATGAGGGCCTGAAGCCGCCCACGGCGAGGGGCTGGGGCTGGGAATGTGGAGGCAGCGTGGTTGTCTTGCTGGAAATAGGCTACGAATGGAGTAGAGATAGTAAGGGATGGGAGCTGGGATTGGGGTGCCACAGTGGGGAGACTGCTTTTCTGGGTGGGAATGACATGTCTATGTCTAGATAGGGAAGGTGGGAGGGAACCTATGGACTTGGAAAAGGATGGGGGGGGGGGTGCGCATGTGCGTGCGAGCTCGCAGCCATCTCAGTCCAGCCCTGCCTCCCCACGCAGGTGTGGGGCCCTCACTCCAGTGCCGAGTGTGTGGGGACAGCAGCAGCGGGAAGCACTATGGCATCTACGCCTGTAACGGCTGCAGCGGCTTCTTCAAGAGGAGTGTGAGGCGGAGGCTCATCTACAGGTGCCCCAGTGTGCCTCGCACGGGTGGAGGTGGTTTGGGGAAAGCCAACGCCCAAACCCAAGGCCTAGGGCCTGGGCATGACACTGGTCCCCCAGGAGCTCCCTGTCCTCTGCAGATGCCAGGTGGGGGCAGGAATGTGCCCAGTGGACAAGGCCCATCGCAACCAGTGCCAGGCCTGCCGACTGAAGAAGTGCTTACAAGCAGGCATGAACCAAGATGGTGAGTGGTGGGCACAGAGCAGGTGGTATCACTGCCGAGGGTCGGGCAGGGGTGTCCTGAGTCTCCCTGCCTTCTAAGCTGTGCAGAATGAACGCCAACCCCGAAGCATGGCCCAGGTCCAGCTGGACGGCATGGAAGCAGGCAGTGATCCCCGACCTGAGCCCTTGGTGGCCTCCCCTGCCTTGGCAGGGCCCAGTCCCCGAGGCCCCACAGCTTCGTCTGCAGCCAGAGCCATGGGCCACCACTTTATGGCCAGCCTCATCACCGCTGAAACCTGTGCTAAGCTGGAGCCCGAGGATGGTAAGTAGAAGAGGGCAGTGGGCGTGGATCCTCTCACCCAGCTTCCACAGAGTGGACACTAAGACCACAACCTCCTCCCTTGACAGCTGAAGAGAACATTGATGTCACCAGCAATGACCCGGAGTTCCCTGCATCCCCCTGCAGTCTAGATGGCATCCATGAGACATCAGCTCGCCTACTCTTCATGGCTGTCAAATGGGCCAAAAACCTGCCTGTGTTTTCCAATCTGCCCTTCCGGGACCAGGTACACCACACAGCCTGCCTGCTGGAGCTGGGCCAGGCAAAGTTAGGAGTCATAGATCTGTCAGCTTGGGGGAACATATACCCCTGGGCTGGTAAGGGATGGAGGCTTACATGGCTCAGATGGTGACCATGGGGTACTTGTGTCTCTGAGTTGGGGATGATCAGGGCAGTGGCAGTGGAAATAAATACATCTCTGGGGGAAGGTTGCTCACCAGAGATGCATAGAGCCTAGGATGCAGGGTAGGACCCGTGGCTCTCTGGGTCCATTGTCTTTCCTTCTGCACACTGAGACAGCAATCTGCATACTCTGAACAACAGAGTGGCTGACTCTGGGTGTCTTTAGAGCAAGGCTCCCCATGACCTCAGGCTTGAGTGTCACCCCAGCCTTTCCACATGTGGAAAAGTGCTCTGAGCAGGCAAAGATCTCACAGTGATCCAGGAGAGAGCGGCTGCCAGATGGGCTGAGCCCTCAGCAAGGCTGTGTGTTTGGAGGGAATAGCTTGGAAGAGTCAACCAGTTCCTTGAACTCACTCAACATGACACTCTTGGAATCATCTGGAGACTGTCCAGCATCCCTGGACTCTGGGCTTATCCAGAATGGCCCAGCCACAGCTCTGGATAGAATCCACAAGGCATCTGGAAACATAGGTAGCTGAGCCAGAGCCTGTGTAGGCAGAGGTCAGGAGGAGACTCTCAGCACCTGGGAGCAGCCCTTCTGTCCCTGGAGAAGGTGGCAGGCAGAGAGCACCAGGAACTGTGCCCCAGTGCTGACACTTGAACCCTCTCTGGTCACAGGTGATCTTGCTGGAAGAGGCGTGGAATGAACTTTTCCTCCTGGGAGCCATACAGTGGTCTCTGCCCCTGGACAGCTGCCCACTGCTGGCCCCACCTGAGGCCTCCAGTGGCAGCGGCTCTCAGAGCAGGCTGGTCTTGGCTAGTGCAGAGATGCGCTTCCTGCAGGAGACCATCTCTCGATTCCGGGCGCTGGCGGTGGACCCCACGGAGTTTGCCTGCATGAAGGCCCTGGTCCTCTTCAAACCCGGTACTCAGCCTTGGCCCAAGCCTTCCAGAGACATGGTTGAGAGTTTAAAAAAAAAAAAAAAAAAAGCGGGGGGTGGAGGTGGGGCCAGCGTGGGTTCTGGTGACTTTTTTTTGCTGGGCCCCTCATAAACTCACCTGGGTGTAGATGGATAGTCCTCATTCTCGGGAGGGGGAGCAGAGAAAAGAGGCGTGGCCTGATACTTTTGGGGGTTGTGGGATCAGGCAGGCTTCTGGAAGGGAGCTCACTGGTACTGTTTCTCCCCAGAGACACGAGGCCTGAAGGATCCTGAGCACGTGGAGGCTCTGCAGGACCAGTCCCAAGTGATGCTAAGCCAGCATAGCAAGGCTCACCACCCCAGCCAGCCTGTGAGGTGACAGTGTGACGGGCCTAACCATCCCCCTCCCCATTTCCCTGCATCCTTCCACCCACCCCTCCCACACCATCTCTGGGCTTCCCTGCTTAGACAGGATAAGAGGGCTCAGTCAGTCGGCAGCATCTACCCAACACCTCCTGTGGACAGACTCAGTGCCAGGTCCCAGGAGGGCACCAAAAGACAAAGCCTGCAGGGACGGATGCCTAGCACAGTAGCCACGTGAAAGACAAGGGTCACCCAGGACAGGTATGGAGGATGGCTTATATCTGAAGGGGTAGCAAAGGTCAGGTTTTTTAAAATTTTTACGTTTTAAAGGCAGAATTTCAGTTTGTATCCCACACTGGTTTCAGATTCAGAGTTTTCCTGCCTCTGCTTCCCAAGTGCTAGGGTTACAGGTGTGCCCTTCTATGCGCCCAGCCTTTGACAGGGACCTGTCTCCATAAGAGGATAGGGTCTAAAGAGAAGAGAAAATCTTATCTATGAAGGTAGAGAGAGGCCAGCAATATGCATTTTTAGACAAGAGTCTAGTACAAAAGGTTCAAGAGTCTTGCTGGTAGGAGGTGGGAAATTAAGACAGTTAACCTGGGACCAGCCCGATTAGAGCTTGGAGTGTCCACTAAAGGCATATCTGATGAGAGAGGTGGGGGGCACACCTGAGACTCTGTGGGAGGAAGCTTCATGCTCAGGACTGGATCTCATGCAGACCTGTGTGGCAGTGGGCACAAAAGACATAACAGCAACCGCCCTGTCCGGAAGATTCCATGGGGTCATGGCCTTGGGGAGCGACCAAAGGGAACAGGAAACAGACCACAGTGTACAACTCTGGGAGTTAGAAAGGGACAGATTTAACCTTTGGATAAAGGCAAGGAATGAGCAAAGAGATGCGTTTGGGAGTAGAGGGCTTTCAAAACTTAAAAGGAAAGTTGAGAGTCTGGAAGGAACTTGCTGGGCTCTGGGGAAAGTATGGAAGGCATGCTGTAGAAATGTGCAGAAAAGCCAGGCATGAACGAACATGGGTGTGGCCGGCGCAGGCTGAGTGGGGGTGGGAGATGCAGGTGGAGGGTCCCAACTTAGTCTAGAATTAGGAATTACATCAGCTGTCTTATACCACTCAGCCAGGCTTCTGTGGACTCTTCTAGACCACATTATGTGCATTCTTTCTGAGGAACTGGTGACATCATCCTCAAGCACCTCTCCAGTAGGCAAGGTCAGCACCGTGTGGGGCAGGAGCAGAGGAAGCATGGTGGTGTGTCAGTGCTAAGGCCTGACATAGCATCTCTGGAGTGGTCATCACAGACATCCAGAAATCAGCGGTCTCCCTAGTCCCCTCCAAGACCAGCCCTCGGAGGCATCCTGGCCTGTTGATCATGTATCACAGTTCAAAAATACTGAGGAAGGTTTTCTATGTAGGGATAGGCGGGACTAACTCAAGTGTCTGCCAAGCAAACATGAGGACCTGACTTGGATTCCCAGCACTCACATAAAAGCCAGGCATGGTGACATGTATCCGTCACCTCAGCACTGAACTGGGTAGAGATAGGTGGATCCATGGAGCTCACTGGCCAGCCAGCCTAGCTGAACTGATGAGTTCCAGGTTCAGTTGAGAAACCATGTCTCAAAACATAGGGAGGAAGGGCTAGAGAGATGGCTCAGTAGATAAGAACATGTGCTGTACAAGCAAGCATGAGGACGTGGGTTCAAATCCCCAGCACCGTGTGAAAAAAGCTGACAATGCTGGGTAAGGCAGGCTAAATAAATAAAAACCAATGTCCGGCGGCAGACACAGGCAGATCCCAGGGCTCTCTGCTCAGCCAGCCTAAATAACAAGGTTTTGTTTCAGAAAGAAACCTTGTCTCAAGGGAAGAAAGCAGGGATGTACAGGATGCCCAGTGTCGTCTTCTGACCTCTGTCAGTATATACGCACCATCACACACATATGGACGTGTGTGTGTGTGTGTGTGTGTGTGTGTGTGTGTGTGTATACTCACATGTGTATGCACAAACACACGAAATGAAGATAGAGCGGGTAAGGATTGAAGAGATGACTTCTGGTCTCCGCACACACAGACTCCCTGGATCCCTCTTGTCCTTTATTGCCCTGGGCAGAACTGGGTGTCACTGCAGGGTCTCCAGACTCTGGGTCAATGTATTTCAGCACAACCTACATAGAGACATGAAACAAAGTCCCGCTAACTAAAACACACCCTTGCTCTGTATGCTCTGCTCTGATACACTGCTTTAAGATGAAGTTCCACGTAGTCCAAGCTAGCCCTGGACTCACCATGCCTCTGGGGGTAGCTTAAGCTCCTGATCTTCTTGCCTCTTCTGTCAGAGCACTAGGGTGATGACAGGTATGTGGAACCACACATGGTCTATGTGCTGCTGGGATGGAGCCCAGTGCCTTGTGCCTGCTAAGCAAGAGCTCTACCAAGGCCGGGTGGCGGTGGCACGCCTTTAATCCCAGCACTGGGGAGGCAGAGACAGGCAGGTCTCTGTGAGTTTGAGACCAGCCTGGTCTACAGAGTGAGTTCCAGGACAGCCAGGACTACATAGAGAAACCCTGTCTAGAAAGAAAAAAAACAAAACAAAACAAAACAAAAAACTCTATCTAGTGAGTTATATCCTCAGTTTCTATTTTGTTGTTTATTTTCTATCTTATTTTTAAAAGTCCATTTGTGAGGCGTTACCTACCATTATCTACCAGGTGGGCCATACCTGCAGTTTGCAATAACTCTCCACTAGACTTCACAGTTACTTCTTCCCTCTCCCTAGATCAGTAAGACAGGAGAAGAGAAGGTAGACCAGAGGTGGGTGTGTGTGTGTGTGACTGCTCACATGCTGCTCACAAGAGAAAGGAGGCTTTTAGGCAGGCAAAGCTACTCAGGAGCTCAGAGAGTGAATGGCAGGGCTTCTCAAGCTCCCCAGGTGCAGTCAAACCAGCAACTGCCTTGGGGAGCTCAGCCTCTGGGTGGTGGGCACTGGCCCCAGCGGGATGACTTCTCCCCACGGACGTTCTGGTTCTGGTTTTTTGTTTGTTTGTTTTGTTTTGTTTTTGTTTTTTCTTTTCCCACCAGGACCCCTGCTTTAGCAAATGGTTCTTACTTGAATCTAGGATGGATTTTTTTTTTTTTTTCTGGGTGTATCTCAGCCAACCAAAATCTCCCTTGACTTCAGAATTTTTTCAGTAGTAGTTATTATCATAGGTGTTTCACAGACAGGAATTCATATTCTTCTATGTAAAACTAATATAACTTACAGTGTTCATCTGATCAATGAACATAAAAACAGGATTGCTATGAGGAATGTCTCACAGGCTGGGAGATGGCCACGCGCACAAGCATGGAGACATGACTGGAGCTCAGATCCCCTGAACCGGCACAAAAGCTGGCCGGCATGGCACCTGCTTGTAATCCCAGCCCCTGGGAGGCTGACACGGGGTCCCTGGGCCGAGTTAGCTAGTTGGATTAGCCAGAATTGGTTGGCTTCCAGTTCAGCAAGGGATCCTACCTCAGTAAATAAAGTGGAGTGAGCCAGGAAGACACTTGACCTTTAAACTTTCATAAGCACCCGCACACACAAAAGCACTCAACACGGTGAACATGTATTCACACACACACCACATGGATGTGCAAAGAAATAACTTCTCATTTTATAATCTTGACATGTAATGAACAATATTATGGAGTCCCTGTTTTCATCATGCTCCTACCCAAGCGGAAGGTGGAGGTGAGTCCTCTAAGACAGGGGCCTTTCCCTATGGCAGGCCCTGGGCACCTCTCAGCCCTCCCTCCTTCCCTCCCTGACAGCCTTGCTCAGCCGCCAGCGCGAACCCTGACAGCATCCTTCCTCCTGTTCAGGTTTGGGAAATTGCTCCTCCTGCTGCCGTCCTTGAGGTTCCTCACCGCTGAGCGCATCGAGCTCCTCTTCTTCCGAAAGACCATAGGGAACACTCCAATGGAGAAGCTCCTTTGTGATATGTTCAAAAACTAGTGAGCGTGTCCAGTGTTCCCAGGCACCCGGGCAACACTCTTTTGGAGCTAAGTCTTTTCTGCCTTTCTCATCCAGCAATTCCACGTGCAGGTTTTTGTACCTGGCAGAAATTTCTCCCAAAATACTTTATTGGAATATTCCTAGCGGTCTTATTAGCAGCCCTAGCTCTGTGTGGACAGTAGAATGCATGGATGGGTTGTGTTATATTCATAGGAAAAACAGCTGGGGGTGGGGCGGGGATGAACAGCAGGTCCACATGACAACATGGAGACGTTTTGTAGGCTACAAGGTGAACATAAAGCCAGGCATGAGTAACTTTCATACAGGGTTCAAGACCAGGAAGGGGGAGGGGAAGGAAGGAAGATGGGAAAGAAAAGAAAGAAAAGGAAATGAGAAAAGAAAAAATGTAGAAGAGGCTGGTAGTGGTAGAAGTCACCTCTGGGTGGGGGGTGGGGAGAGGGGAATAGACTCCTGCACCAGGAATGCCCTTGGTTTTGATCTGGATGATAAACTGATGGTCATTAAAACTCACGGCACACTTACAATTCATGCACTTTGCTGTATTCTGTTTGACCCCGGTTAAAATAAAACCAGAAAACTGCATCCCAGGCTTTCTATTTGAGCACGGGGAAGAAAGGACAAGCTTTAGGAATGCAATCTAGTGGTTTTTAGCAAGGCAGAGGGAATGGGGAAAAGGACAAGGCCTGTCAGAGCCACATGCTCCGGTGGGCTAGTGTCCCTTCGGTATCTGTAAAGCACTCTGCAGCTCAGAGCAAGACAGTCACAGGCTGTGTGTGTGTGTGTGTGTGTGTGTGTGTGTGTGTGTGTGTGTGTGTGTGTGTAGAACCCTTCATTATCACTCCTTAATCCCTCATGGAAAGACCTGGCTCAGACAAACCCTCTTTTACAAAGACAGACCCAAACAAGTTAGTGAGACCTGGTCAATAATTATAAAAGTTAACATATCGGCTGGCTGTGGTCCAGCCAAGAGTACTTGCTTAAAATGGATGGAGCCCTGGGTTCAGTTCCCAGCACTACCCAGACACACAGGGTTTACATATGCCAGGCCATGTGTACAACAGGCAGTGAGCTGGGCACCCAGGCTGGGTTGTCTGATCCTCACGTAACTCCAAGGAGGGCCAACTGTCACCGTTTCTAAATAAACAAAGGCTTCGTGGACGCCCACGTTGTTGTACCGCTAATCACCGGCTGCTTAATTCCGATGTGGCCGCCTCAGTTCTCCCTTCCACTCTGGAATCAGCTAGAGCATTCTGTTGCATTTCCTGTCTTCAGAGGAGAAATGTAAGGGGCTGGAAGAAGCCTAGGGGTTCTCTGGCCTGTGGCCTACATTTGAATCTCACAGCTGCAAAGACCAACCCTCTGCTCAGGAAAAGGTGGGCTGGGCAAAGGGTGGGCTGGGCAAAAAAGGTGGGCTGGGCCAAGAGGAAAGAGTTTGACGAATCCGTCGTCTGGTGGAAGACCTTCACACCACAGCAGGCCAACTACTTGTCCTCTAAAAGCATCAACCTGGGGCTGGCAGGATGGCTCAGTGGGGAAATGACAATTGTCACCAAGCCTGATTCAGTTTGAACTCTGGTGGAGGGAGAAAACCAACGACTTCCACATGCTCACTGTGTGCCACTCCCCACCCCCAAATAAATGAAAAGTTAAAGGCGTCAGTCTGGCCTGTTAGTGGGTTTTCTGACGTCTGTGTTGCTGCTGCTGCGCGGTCTGATGTCACATCAGGCCAGAACAAAGATGCCTGATGAGAACACATGGTTGACATGGGCCACACCTGGCCGGCCCACTCAGCTTACAAGCTGGCGTTTGAGAACAGTAAGCGTGCAAAGGTGGCCTGCTGAAGTTCTCTGGCAAAGAACTCTGGGGTTTTCTAGGAGGCAGTCTTGGAGAATTCAAGGAGATGTTTAAGCCGAGTCATCCGCCCTCAGCTTGGTCTCAAAGCCAGCCACTCTCAGGGCTTCCCCTTGTGGCAGAAACACCAGAAAAGGCGGGTCTCCCTTTGGATCTTAAAGGTCTCACAGAGGTGTGGAAGGCGTGGGCACGGGCCTATGGCCCTGTTGGGAGCCCTGCAACCTTTAGGGGGCGGGTCCTACGTGGAAGGGAGGTGGGCGGCATCTCAGGACCCTGGCTCCTCCTCTAACACTTTGTCCTCCCAACACCTGACCAGCTGCCTCTTCCTCTACCAAGCGAAAGCGACGGAGATAATCGACCACGGATGAAACTGTGAGCCAAAATCTTTCTTTCTTTTTTCAAAAAAGAGTTGTTTTAAAGTGTGTGTGCGTCGCTGGCTGGTGCGGGTGCCTGTAGAGCCCAGGGGTTTTAGATCCTCGGGAGCTGGAATTCCAGGCAGTTGTGAGCTGCCCAAAGTGGGTGCTAGGAACTAAACTCCCTATTTCCTCACACTTAGGCACCGCCGATGGGCACGCGCGGGTGGTAATGACTTTTCTTTTGGGCCCTTTCTGGGAGACATTTGGTTTGGTTTTTTTTGCCGTCAATACCAGAAGCGTGCAAAGCACCACAGAAGTTTCATTGGTTTCCTCGTACCTCTCTTTTCTTGGGAAACTGCATTTTTCGGGTTCATACGATGCTTCTCCTCCATTCCCAAGCCAGGTGTTTCAAGCATGAAGGGCTGGGAAAGACCTCAAAAAGACTAGAAAGACCAAAATTGGTCACTAGAACCGGAGAGCGGAAGCCAGGCCCGCGCCGTGCTGTCTGCCCGCCCTCGGTGGGAGTCTTTGGACTTTGCCACTGGACTGCAAGCTCAGTCCGGGGTGGGGACCTTTGTTGTATCACTGTTCTGCTGCTAACACTAGGGTGCTGGGGCGGGCGACCCGAGTTTGCTTAAGAAATAGCCACAGGGGCCTGAAGCCAGTCTTGGAGTCCCGGATGCCCACAGATTCGACAGGTACCACTGTGCCAAACGGACTTGATGGTAGTCCCTGGTTCAAAGAGACCAGACTGCCGACCAGCCTAGGGAAAGAATAGTTAAAAGGAGAAGGCCCCGCCTGTGATCTGCCTGGGCCTCCTCACGCCTTTCTGCTCTCCGGGCCTTGCAATCAGAAAGGGTTTTTGTGGACTCAGTCATCTCAGGGACAAGTCTTAAAAATATGATTTCTTGGTTTTATTTGGCCAATTACAGACATTTTAAGAAACAACATTCACTTTTCTTATTCTAGTGTAGAAACAGGAAAAGCCAACTCAGGATTTTAAATGAATGTATTTGGCATCATAGGGAAATTTACTAATTTTTTTTTTCATTTCACCTTGAACCTGACTTGATCCCAGTCAGGCTTATCATTCAGGATCTAAGTACCTACCTAGTCCAAGGCACCCAACCCAGGAAATCCTTCCCCTGGGAAGCCGACACCCATTGAGTGATGATCTTAATGCCAGCACCTAGTGAGAAGTGGAGAAAGGGGCAGAGGACAATCCTAGCTACTGTCCTTAACAGGGGGAATGGAGTTAGTAGTTAATAGAGGACACGTGGGAAGACAATAAATGTCCTGAGAGGAAAATGGACACTCCGAGAGGGCAAATGACCCCCACCCCCACCCCCGTGTCTTACAGTGGAGCAGCAGAAACGACAACTCAGGATTGAATTGTTTCCCTTGTGATGTGCTACTCTGCCTTTTGGGGAAACCAAAACCTCTTAGTCACCTCCATGCGTTGTAAGATGGCCATTTGATGGGGAAATGCTAACTTTGCATTAAATGTGCACTCACTGTTGGCATAGTTAGCGGCGGTGGCTGTGAGTTTCTCACAAACCACAGTCACTTGGGAAGAAGGAACCTCTGCCGAGGAGTTGCCGCCACTAGATTTGCCTGTGCGCACGCGCATCTGTGTGGACATTTTCCTGATTGCTAATTGCTGTATGAGGGCCAGCCCATGGTGTGTGGTGCAATCGGCGGCAGGTGGACCTGGGCTGGAGAAGAAACTGAGCAAGCTAGTAAGCAAGGCCCTCCATGATTCTGCTGCAAATGCCTGTCTTGAGTCCCTGCCTCGGTGATAGCCTGCAACCTGTAAGCGGAAGCAGCCCCCTTCCTGGTGGTGCTTTTGGCCAGAGCAACAAAAACCAAACTTGGAACAGTTGTCGCCACTGCACTTCCTGTCTTCCGTCCTTGCCTTTCTCCTCCCTTTTTTGTGGGCCCAAATAATCCTCCATCTACTCGCAGGGTGACCTTCTCAGTTTCAGCTTGGGAAAGATAAGGTTTAATGCTTATCTTTGCGTGCCTGGTTTATTGCGCTTCACTCTGTCCACCTGGGCCATCCTTTTTGCTGCAAATGACAGCATTTCAGTTGTCTTGTGTTGTTTTGAGACAGGGTTTTTTTTCTGTGTAACAGTCCTGGCTGTCCTGGAACTCGCTCTGTAGATAGACCAGGCTGGCCTCCAACTCACAGAGATCCGCCGGCCTCTCTGCCACCCCAGCAGTTTTCTTTACTGCCAAATAAAACTCCATTGTGTATGTATACTATTTTATTTTATTCATTTAACTGTTCATATAGCTGAGGTATTGTGAATAGCACTGAAGTAGATGTGAGCGCGCAGGTACCTCTCTGGAAATTGATTTCACAGCACATATATGTCTAGATAATATGGTCATTCTGGTTTACACACACACACACACACACACACACACACAAGGATTTTATGAAGTCCAAGCCTTTAACTCCTGATCTGCCTGCCTCAGCCTCCCAAGTGCTGGGATTGCAGGCATACGTCACCATGCATCTAACTCTCTGGGGAATCTCTATGCTGTTCTCCACAGTGGCAGTAATAATTTACACCCCCACCAAGAATGTACAGGAGCAATTAAGAGCTCTTCTTGTCCCTCCAAAGGCTCTGGGTTCGGTTCCACAGACACCACCGCCTGGATAGTTCACAACTGCCTGTAACTGCCAGGGAATCTGATGCCCTCTTCTGACTTCTCACACCCATGCCATACTCTCTCTTTCTCTCTCTCTCTCTCAAACATACACAC